TATTTTCAAAATGAACTTCTACCCAACCCCCCCAACCATCCAAGCGGAAATCTATACCCGCATCCCCTCCCACTTGCGCTGCACAGGCCAACCAACGGAGTGGCGCAGCGGCTCGGCACGCCCAGCATCTGATATCTTCCTCGAAGGGCCGGTCTATACCGCCAACGGCGATCTCTACATCGTAGATGTTCCCTACGGGAGGATCCTGAAGATAGACAAGGACAAGAATGTGACGGAATGTATCCGCTACGATGGGGAACCCAATGGGCTCGTTGTTCGAGAGGACGGGTGTCTAGTTATTGCGGATTATAAGCAGGTGAATACACCCCATCCCAGAACCAGTAGAAAGAAAAAGGATGCTGCTAAACGATGAAGGGAATACTTCTTTTCCACCTCACAACACAAACACTAACTCCCCTTCTCACCCGCCGCAACCTAGAACGCTTCAAAGGTCCCAACGACTTAATCATCTCCAGCAAGAACGAGATCTACTTCACGGACCAGGGCCAAACGGGGATGACGGACCCGTCTGGGTGCGTGTACCGGCTTTCCCCCGATGGGAAGCTAGATTGTCTTGTGTCGAACGGGATTTCTCCGAATGGCTTGGTATTGTCTCCCGATGAGCGGTTCTTGTATGTTGCTATGACGAGGCAGAATTCTGTGTGGAGGTTGCCGTTGAATGCGGATGGGAGTACGTCGAAGGTAGGGCTGTTTTTCCAGTCGTTTGGGTGTGCGGGGCCTGATGGGTTGGCGGTGGATGAGGAGGGGAGTTTGTTTGTATGTCATCCGAGTCTTGGGTGTGTGTTTGTGGTGGATAAGGAGGGTGTGCCGAAGGCGAGGATTGTTACTGCGAAGGATGGAGGGAAGAATTTGACGAATTGTAAGTTTGGGGGTGAGGATGGGAGGACCTTGTTTATTACGGATAGTTTGGAGGGGAATGTGCAGGTCGTGAGGTGGCATTGTAGGGGGGTGGTTGGGGGGAGGGTTTTGAAGGCTAAAATATGATGTATGTATAGTAGTGATCATAAAGAAAAATTCGAGAATATGTCTTTTAGATTGAAATATCACAGACTAGCTAGATATTGGTGCAAGTTGTCAATCGCCGCAGTAGCACTCGCTAATTGTGCCCTCGATGTGGCAGCTCCAATGTGCGGTGTACTAATCACATTCAGGTTCTCCCAGAGCTGGCCATATTTCTCAAAGCTGGGCGGCTCCTGTTCGTGGCAGTCTAGCCCGGCACCCCAAAGACGGCCTTCGGATAATGCCCGTGTGAGGTCCTGTTCATTGACAATCCCTCCCCGAGCCGCATTGATAAGGATGGCATCAGGCTTCATCATGCAGATCTTGTCGTAGGAAATCATGTCTCGTGTCTCATTGGTGAGAGGGACATGGACCGAGAGGATATCTGCCCGAGTAATAACATCATCGATGCTGCTGGCTCTAGTGTGCGGGATATGCGTCCATATGTCCTCCGGCATATAAGCGTCGTATGCGATGATGTCGGTCTGAAAGCCACCCCGAAATATCTCGGCAACAGTCCGTCCGATATTTCCCATGCCGATAATGCCGACAGTCTTTTGGTACAACGTCAGCCCGTTACATGTCTCCTTGGGGACTGGCTTTGACATTTGGCGAGTTGTAATGGACCGGATACCACGAGCAACCGACAGAGAAAGGGCAACGACCAGTTCGGCCACATCGCGTGCGTTCGCCCCAGGCGTGTTGAGGATCTTGATGCCTCTTTCTGCGCAGGCATTTTGGTCGATCTTGTCAATTCCTACTCCGTGCTTGCCAATCGCAATGAGATTCGGGCAACTGGCGACATCCTCGGCAGTAAAATAGGAACTTCGAATTAACAAAGCGCGCGCATTCTCTCTCCAATTTTGGAACCCTTCATCTTGAGGCTGGATAATATTAAATAGTGTTTTGGCATGTTCGATTGCCTTGGGAGGGAACGTGTCAAGAAGGTACACCGTTGGCTTATCCGCAACCGTTTGGCGGGAAGATAACAAATCGTCGTCTCTGCTGGGTGCCATCTTGTATTTAGAAAGAGTAGTGGCTTGTCTTGAGTCTCTCAAACCAACTGTGTAATTGTCCTGACTGCATTGTTGGACATTTACTGCCATGATATATGCCCGAGTGGTACGGATTCCGTCCGGCGGGCATTCTCCGAAGGCAGTCTTTCCGGTCCGCAAGTCAACGAACTGGGCGACTACTCCGAAACGTACCTTCGATCATCACTCGAAGGGCGTGAGGGACTATTTCCGGTAGCTCAATCACCTGCGCCTTTCATGTCAGCTCTGCAGGGCGTCGGATGTAAGTACTTATTGGTCATAAACCATTACTTACCATGTCTGCTGACTCCTGCAAGCACCAGAGCACTCTGCAAAGAGCTTTAAGTGCCGAGAATCTCTCTCCGAGAAGAGTCAAGAGAGAAGTACATTTGTTGAGAAGACTGGCTGCGTTCGGGACATCGGAAGATGGCGAAATCCTTCCCAGGCAGGTAAGAACCATTCCCGCAGAAAAGATATCGAAGGCATCGACGAATGATCCCGTGAAGCAGTCATCCTCCACCGCCAAATACTCGTTACTGATATATTCACTACACGTGTTTATTATATCTTGCCGGATAGTATGCGTGGTCCCAAAAACCCTGGCCGTGTTTCGCTCAAATCCACTGATTTGCGCCAGGCAGACCATGAACTTACAGGTGAGCTGCCGTATTGTTCTGGAGGAAGTCGGTGGTATATTAGAACCTATCAATCCCCTAGGTATATCTCTCCAGTAGGAGAAACTTCCGTAGTGGAAACTTGATTGCTGATGTGAAGAGCCTCGCATCTTAGATATTAGTCGAGCGTGCATGACAACGTACGCCGGAAAGTCGAGCGTGTCTGGTGGACTGATGTCTCCATGAGATGGAAGCTTTGATAATGTTAGCACACGCATCGAACTATTTCCTGAGACGTACTTGAAGCGTAACATCTTCATCTTCAATGCTGAATGGCCGGTCCATTGCGCAGCTGATAGTTCTGCAGGACGTTAGACGATTTCTGTCAATGTTCAAAGAAACACACACCTATCAAGTATGTACAAGTTCCAAAATATGTTTCTTCTCCGATTGAGCTTCTGCTCCGGTATTCCAATGTCGGAAAGCGGCTCTTTATGGAACCTATACGATATCGCCTTCTTCATGGCCAGGCCAACAAGGTGCCATGTGGATCCCCCCATCGAGGAGAACATCGAGTATATGATCAACAATTGCATAGAATGCAACATGTTCAAGTCATCGCTACTGCCTAGGATAGTAGGGAATCTCTGCATGGCCGTGCTGTGCAAACTGCTGGCGAACAATTCGATGCCAGATTCGGGAGACAGTAGCATCCCAATAGCTGTTGCCATATACACGTTGAAATCCCTGAAGGTGGTATACGAAGTTGTACGAGAGACATGGCTACTATCGAAGAACGCGTCACGATATTCCAGCATCTCACCCTCGTTAATATAGGGGCAGAGGGCTTTGGTATGCCCAAAGAAACGGCCCATACAATCAGCCACAACTTCTCTGGTAAGTGTAGGGGTCTGTCCCAACATGTTGCTGTACTTCGACTTTTGAGACAAAGGGCATGAAGACTGTGTTGGGTCCTTCCCTGAAATAGCAAGGGAGGCTTTTATCATGTTTCCTATTGCTAGTTCCTGGGGAAATCCACTTGCCTCACCACGGGGCTCTGCCATAGCATTGCGGGACAAAAATTCAATCTCTCCCATAGCTGCTTGCACCGATCTTTCAGTGAGACTGGTTTGCTCCGTCAACGGAGTGTCGTGGGAAGTCTGTGGACTATCATGTGCAGCCTCTGTCGGGATATTGGATGGCAGTGATGGTCTCCCATCGCTTGTGGTGGTTGATAAACGAGGTCGTCGGCGCCGAGACTGATCGTCCAGATCTTCCGCCTTTCTTTTAAGCGTCTCAATATAGCTGATTCATGTCAACAGCAGCTCTGAAACAGACCTGACGATAGTGAAGTCAGTGTATCCTTACTCAGGAAGCGCAGCATTGGAAAGTCCACTTGCATCCTCTGCGGTGCCCCCTAACTGGACGCTTCGTGGACAACATTTGGCTTTTGCTTCAATGCAGGCTGTACATCCCGGCAGCAACCTGTCGCACTGATTGCACCAAGTTAGTGAGGAAGATTATCTTCGTAGTGGACAGAATCACCTTTTGCTTCCGTTTCCAGCATCTCTCACAGGCTTGGAGTCTCCGTTGTGCGGTGGGACTCTGAGGCGTAGGACTTGTCCGACGGCTTTCTTCCATGGTTCAATGCCCAGACATGGAACTTCGGAGTACGTGAGATGCCATCACGCTACAAGTGCAAGAAACGTGCGTAGCCCTCGTGGGGTATGCTGGTCTTGGCTGCGGGGAAGCTGTGCGGCGGAGAATTTCCGAATCCCCACTGCGGGTGGATGGGTTCTGCGGACATTGTCCGATGCGGAAGATGTATCCCTAATGGCAAAGGGAAAGACGTGACCTTGGTACTTGCAGAATTAGTTTCAATGCAAGATGATAATGTACATGTAGCATGATTTTGCGAAGCAGTGATTCGCACACCGGCTGTAGACCTGTGTTAGCTGAGTTACGGGGAAGGTGCGAGGCAAGGCAGGGCTAAGACATTGACCCTACCACAGGTAGCCGAGGCTATTCACTTCTCCATATTGTTTCCCCACAATTTCGTTCATGAAGCTCTTGGGAGAGGGCATGAAGTAGCAAAACATAGTAAGACTGCAAATCCACTGGCCTGCTCTTGATGAAGGTTGTGTGCTTCAGCAATTACCAGCATCATGGCCAATGGACATGAGGACAGGCAACTACCACGACTTCCAGCCTGCCAGTCATGCTACACGAAAAAAGCCAAGGTAAACATCCCAATGGTTAAGACACAAACCATGCCGATTTAGGCTATAGATTTGACCATTGGAGGTCAATAGTGTGACAATGCTCGTCCAAAATGCTCGCCATGTATGAGGAGTGGACAAGTTTGTTTGACGGTTAGCCTGAATGGTAGTGAGCCGGTCTCACGGGAGTAAGTGTCCTCTTTTCATTTCAGAAATAATAATTAACAGGCCGAAGATATATAGATGAGCTGGAACAGAAGGTTCTAAGCCTTCAAACAGGGGTCATTGACATAGAACCCATGATGAATGATGCAGAGGAACATTCATCGGCAGACGACAATAGTCCGGGGGCCGCTCCCCATGACAGCTTAGGTCACATTGGTGAAACCGCGGATGGATGTAATAATAATATGAGCCTTTCCCCGAATTACACCGAGGGTGCTGGGATTAGGTATTGGTTCATATTCCTTCAGAATCGTGGTCCTTAGGCTGACAGTGACCAACAGCTTTATGAGTCTTCTATTCAACGATCCCCGATGGAGGGAGCAAAACCAGAAGCTTCTTCAAAATCTATCCAAGAGGGCCACCATTCTAGAGACCAGTGTCCAGCAGAATCCACTGCCATCAGCTCAAGAGGCCTTGGTTGTATTCAACAGTTAGTATGTGTCCCCCTTAATTGCAGACATTATATCCACGCTGACAAATCACAGCTTGGGAGCATCTCATGTCCAGAACCCCTTCTTGCTGCGTCGATATGTGCAGGATCTGTACCAAACACTCTTCCCCGAAAGTCTGGAAGACCAACATGCACGTGCTAGCGGCGGTCAAACAACGGAGCACCAACTATTTCGGACATTCATGATACTTGCCATCGGCGCCATCCCACTGTACCGAGCCGGCAAGCACCAGTACCACCCTTACGGCTATTTTCTTTCCGCGTTGAAACACCTCGAAGAAGGCTTTCTCCTGAAAGGCTTGGAGTCCATTCAGGATCTGTTGCTCGTAAGCAGATTTGGCATATACTATCACATTGGTGCGGTGTCCTCGCAATATCAATGTCGTATCCACTACTGACTGCGTCTGTAGGTACTTCTATATGGGAATTGATCCAACTTAGTACCAGAATGTGTATTGAGCAGGGTCTACATAAGTGTCGACCTCGAAAAAGCCCAGATGACCATCTGCTAGAGGAGCAACTGCGGAGACGGGTATTCTGGCAGTGTTATATGCTGGATCGATACACCTCTGTAATGTTGGACCGCCCACCCGCGATAGCCGACAAAGACATTCAGGTCGGGTTTCCGGCCGACGCAGATGATGAGGAGCTCGAGTTGGCCGGGCAGTCTGGTGTATTTGCTGACCTAGATTCCTTCTATTGCATGAGCACGGCACACCTGGATTCTATGCATACAACTGAGACTTCGGTGTTTCTCCTCTGCTTGCGACTACGCAAGATTACCTCAAAGATCCATACAAGATTTCAGCAAAAGGCCAAGGGGATAGCTGAGCAGGAGATGTCACAAATTGAATTGGCCACAGCCAGCGGAACCATATATTTAGATCTTGACGAGCTACTGAATGAGCTAGAGAGTTGGAGGAACTCTGCGCCTGTCTTCTCCAACCCAAAATGCTTGTATGAGAGGCAGGAGTGGTACGATCTGCTCCTGATGCGAGAGCGATTACTTATTATCCGCAAAGCAATTGATCTCGTGCCTAAACGAAACAATGTGCCTCCGCAGGACCTTCTCAGAATCTGCCTTGAATTTTCCGTGGGGACTATTACTACTTTCTGTGCAATGTTTGACCAGGGGCTTGTGACATACACACGCAGTTACTTCCAGACTTTGTTCACTGCGGGATTATCTGTCATGTTTTGTGTTTCAGTTGTAGAGGACCTTGATTATCAGACCATAAAGAGTGCTTTTGAAGCTGTCAAGAAGGGCGAGAAAACATTGAAGCTCATGGTCCAGGAGCTTCCTGATGCGGTTCACTATGTCGCTCTATATAAAGCATTGCGGGCCGACATCTTGCGCAAGACAAAGAACCAACGACCAGACGCAGTGGATGGCGAGCAACATATCCCATTTGATACCACTCACCAAAGTGGAAGCATACAATTCCTCCTGGACGGTAGTGTGAATACTGAAAATGAACATCCTGCACCCGCCATTGAACATAACCCGCCGTGGCCCATTCTGACGCCCGATGCAAGTACGAACGAGGCCCATATGATACAGTTGCAAGATGCAGCCATAGAGAACCAACAATTATCATGGGACATATTCGGGGACAACGTCTTCTGGAGTATGGAGGCCGGGATGTTAGGGGAGTACGTGTACGGATCTTCAGCTGCGGGTCACTTCCTGGACATATAGAAAACAATATATAACCACAATCAAATACAAACAAGCCATCTATTTACACCCTCTCCAACCTCACATTGATATCCTCATACTTCTGACTCAACTGTCTCATCCCCGCCTGCACCATCGCCCCATCCTGCCCACCCAACGACCACGTCGCCCCCAACTTAAACCACATCTCCAAGAGGTCCAGTCTCCCCGGAATCCCCCCAATACCCACAGGCTTTCCAACATCCACACACGCCTTAATAACCCTCTTCACCGCATCCTGATACTCAGCAGTATCATAACCTCCCGGTATCCCCATATCCGAACAGAGATCATTCGAACCCACCAAAATCCCATCTACACCCTCAACAGCCACAATCTCCTCCACAATATCCACCGCCCCAGGCGTCTCAATCATCGGAATCAGCATTGTCTGCTCATTCAACACCGCATTCTGCACTTTTGTAGACACATGCCGGAACCCAAACGCCGGCTGGTTATTCGTGCAGCCGCGCTTTCCCAGGGGAGCGTACTTCCCATGCTGGACTAATTCCTTCACCTCTTCGACGGACTTCACATGGGGAATTACCACGGCGGAGGCGCCTGCGTCGAGGATGCGACTGATATGGAAGTGCGATTTGGAGGGCGAGCGCACGACGGGCGAGATGCCTGCGCAGTGGCAGGCCAGGATTAGTTGCGAGACAGTGCGCATGTCGTGCGCGGAGTGCTCCATGTCGATGAAGATGGCGTGGATAGAGGTCGTTTTGCAGAGAAGAGGGAGCTCATTGGTTGTTAGGTATTTGGCTGTTAGGAGGGGGGTTATTTGTCCAGAGAGGATGCGCGTCCTGAAGGGGTTCGAGACGCTGGTGGTTTGGGGGTCGGATTGGGTCATTTTGGTGGTAGTTTGGGATTTGGATGTAGATGGTGATTGACTTGAGATGTAGTTCAGGAAATTGTTGTTCGATTGATGAGAATGATCTTGCTGAACTGAGATTATACTGTTACTTATATATTGATGTTCGTCGCTAACATCGAGGGCATTTTTTGTTGTCTCATGTCGCAATCCGGAGAATATCCGGCTGCTGGACGATGAGTCTATAGCTTCATCCGGAACTTCTCCTACAGCGCGGAAAATGTCCATCCCCACATGTATGAACAGCCTCAGAGCTATGGTTACTTACTCTGGTGCTAAGAAATAACAGAATGAGTCATAACAGCAATATACTGAACAATTAATGTGAAGAAACAGAGTGAGACATAAGTCAATATACCAAATCATAAATGTCACACACTCCCTCATCACTGCTATATCCCACACTACCAACCACCCACCCAGACAGCCCTACAACTATCCATCTCATCCCTCTCACCGACATACCAACAGCATACCTCCATCCTACCTAAGTAACAAACCTCCACCTGGACCCAATCCCCTCCACCTCCTCCCTCTCCAGCTCCCTATTCCTCCTGACACACCACCACCTCGTCCCCAAGCAGAGCAACACCGTAAGTCCACACCCCGCAATAATAATCCCCCCTCCAGTCTCATACCTCGGCTCCTGCGACGTGAGGAAGAAGTACGGCGTGAACCAATGCGAGACTGACGATACGCAGTTCGCGATTGCCACCAAGGCCGCTCGTTTCGTGCGCGGGCGCGGAACGACGCTGGTTTCCCAGGATATTTGGATCTAATATTTGAATGAGTTTGATTGGTTGGAGAGAGTTTGGGAGGTAAAATTTATGTGGATAGACGGTGGTGGGTTAGCTTACGTTTAGGCCGACGAATGGTCCCGTGCAGAGTAAGATGAAGCTAAAGTACCGTGCTCCGATGTTCAAGGTTGAGATCATGATCACTGTTCCGGCGAGGGTGATGAGCATGGGTATCACGATGTGCCAGCAGTGCTTGAGGAATCGGCCACAGGACCATGAGAGGACCAAGGTGGCGATGTAGGCTATTACCCATGGCGGAGCTTGGACGAGGTAGGTTTCGACTTCGGAGAAGTTGAGGGTTGCAACGATCTATAGTCACCATTATTAAAACGATGTAGAATCTTAGAGTAGGGGATTGATACGCACTGAAGGAAAGAAATCCTTGAACGACTGAGCAATGATAAGCGCAAAATGCATTGCCGAGAACAGCCACGTAAATGGATCCTTAACGGCAAGCCACACACCCGTCCAGCGACCACCATCGTCATCTTCGTGGATCCCCCCGGCTGAGACAAATTGTCTGTACTTTGCCATTTCAGCCTCCTCTTCACTGAACCATCGTCGACTAGTATTATCGGGGAAGTTCGGGAGGAACCAGAACGCAATCAAGGCGACAAGGATACTGACGATCCCTTCTAATAGGATGAACCACTGCCATGCTCGGAGGTGAGCGATGTCGTCCATGTTCGTGAGGATGGCTGCGGCGAGGAGTCCAGAGAATACATTGGAGATGATGTTACCCGCGTGCCAGATGCCCATCCGTAGTGGGGATTCTTTCTTCGTGTACCAGGATGAAGTCATGAGGGAGACGGCGGGGATGAAGGGGCCTTCTGTGACCCCGACGAGGAATCGGCAGAGACAGAAGCCCCAGGCAGAGGTGAGGGCCGGCATGCAGATTGTCACGGCGGACCAGGTAAGCATGATACAGGGGAAGATAATGCTTGGTTTGCCTTTGGCGATGAAGACGCTTGCTGGGATTTGGGAGATGATGTAGCCCACGTAGAAGAGGGAGATTCCGGCGGACCATTCTGTGTCAGACATGTGGAGGTCGTCTTGCATGCCGGCTAGGCGGGCGTTGGATACGTTGATTCTGTCCAGGTAGCTACGGGTTGTTAGTGCTTGGGATTGATAGTAGCAGTTATAGCAAGCTCACCTCATAAGTAGCATCATTGTCACACATGGCAGAAAGTAGTAGTCCAGCTTTTTTAGGACAGCTTTGTCCAGATGTTCGAGTTCAGTGAGAGTCTTCTCCTGCAGAAGAGGAAACTGAGCCAGCGAGTGTTCTGGATGAGAGACATCCTCAAGGTTCTCCACGACAATCTTGGAGTCCCTGTCGTCCAGGGGATATTCGTCGTGTTTCGTCGCCATGGCTCAATGAAAATGTATAGTGGAGTATGGACAAATAGGTCTGTTACTGTCCATACTATCTGCGCTTTTATGGGGCTATATGGCCCACATATCTTCCCCGGATTTACATTCTGGGGTACTTGATCCCCCATGGGGACTCCGCACGCAACGGACATCTCCGACTTGGCAGCTATTATCGGACAGTATCCGTACGCAGCATTGATTGCGGCATGGTGTGCATGATAGGCTCTCATCGCTTCTGAAGCGGAGGGTCTAAGCGGTGAAAAGTAATTGATGGATTAAGTTTATATCAGGAACTTTGAGGGGTCAAACACTATACTCCAACCACCTGACCCATCGCCTATGACGCCAGGCTAACAATCTGCTATTTCTCCGCCGGCATCCAATGCACCGAAATTGGCTCATGCTTGCTCCGGATTCTTTCTCCCCTAGACCACAACTGGAACGTGAGGTCTGCGGGTCCAACAACCACCCTCACCTCAAAAGATGTTCGCCAGAATGCAGGCTTAGAGCTGTACCAATGGCGATTCTTCAACTTTCTATCCACGTTGTCGGTTGCGATGTCGAGGTTGCAAACTGTTTGCCACCCTTCATGGCATAGGCTGCGTGGGAGCCTCGCCGGTAACTCGGTCGACATGACAATCTCAACGTTATGGATTACGGCTTCCAAACCGACGTCGGTCCTCAGATGAAACTCTTTTGTTACCCCGGTAGGTGGAATTGGACGCCCCTAATTGCGGTTATGGTGTAAGCTTCGCAAAGTGAGGGGTGAGGGCATCCGAACCTTGACAACGAGCCAGTCAATCTGATCAAGGGCATACAGACGTTTATCGCGAACGTCCATCTGGACTCGCTCTCCAACGTGAATGTCGCGGTTGTAAACCTTGTGACATATAATGCCGTAGCTCACTGGTGCGCATCGGAAGCCGAATGTCAGGATGCCGCGCTTGAGCTGTTGAATGCGGTCCATAACTAAGCCGTGGACAACAACTAGTTGCCTGGAAATTGTAGTTCGTAAGTATTATGACGAGGTATTAGCGAAGATAAGAAGTCAACGTACGGTTCATCAGCCATGAGCACTTGCATCCCTCCAGTTTGAGTAGCCTTGTTACAGCTATTGTATCTCTCCTGGAGGCGTTGTCTCACATACGGGGAGCTACCCAGCCCGCCGGATAGCACCAGGTATTTCTGTAAACGAGTTAGCTTGGATGCGTCAAATGCGTACTACATTGCCAAGCGTACAATGTCGTCGTTAGAGCCTTGGGCTTGCAGTTGCTGGATATGTGCGTCTATAAGCTGGAATATACCTTCTACCTTCGAGTCGAAGCTTTTTTGAATGTCTTCCCTATCCGGTATCAGTATTCACTATAATGAGAACTTGACGTAAGATCTCACCATGCAATCTGCATCTGTCCATTGAATATCCCCACCTCCGGGAAGTCAAGGTTGGGGTCTAATCCCGGCACATCCAGCTTGAGCCAAGGCGTGACCGTGGCTTCGGTGCCGAAAGCACATTTGTATCGCTGAAATCGTCCGAATGTCATTCTCCACGCCGTCGTATTTGGTGATGATTTCAAGTGCTGCTGGATAACTTCAAGTCGCTTGCACATAAGACGATGTATTTCTCTGTCAATGAATACCGAACCGATAGGGTGTCCTGGCAAGTTGTTAACTAAGGACGATATGAGAACAACCTAGATAGCTAGCTACCTTCGACATGCCCAAGCTGTGCCAGCTGCGTAGGCTCGCCCTGCGCTGATAGAAGCTTGAGGACATTTACATCCTACGATCAATGTTGGTTACAACATTCTACGGGTGAGGGTGCGGTCAAGGGGCAAGTTACTGTCGTTCCTCCACCCGAGTCGCAAACCAAGATTGTATCATCTCTCTGTACTGAGTGTTAGTTAAGTGCCCTACACTTGGTTCTTGGTATGGAAATGGTGACCTACTCCGTAATGCTCGTTCCCTGCATAAACAGCTGCGGCCTCTGCTTCCGTAAGGCCGATGCAAGCACGGTGATTGGGATTTCGTGCGTCAATCACCTGCATTAACAGTCTCCGAATTTCTTCTACCATGCGCACATCCTTCCACGTAGTCGGAACACTGAAAATAAACTCGACACGTTGCATGACAAACTGTGGAATAGTGGTCTCAAAGTAGGACACCACATGCCGATAGATGCACTGAATATAGTCCTGGAACCATTTCTGGGCCTCTGTCAGGCTTGGGCCCCCATCTCGCGCATACTGAGGCGCGAGATGAAGCTTGAAGAACTCTTTGGTCTCTGCTTCGGAATTATCGATGTCACATTGGAACCCCCAGTGGCTGACTGACTTGGAGTCAGAGCTATAGGTAATACAGGTAGGGACCTTATTGGCCAGCTCGCCAGGTAGCTTGCCCGGCCATCGCTGGATGGTTTTGGGAGGTGGCCATTCTGGTCCGTATGAGTATGCGACACCTGATCAGCAGTAAGTTTTTAGGTCAAGAAACTCACGTCGAATAGCCTACAGCTTTTCTACGTACCTGTGTGTGTCATTCCAAAGTCGACACCCACTACGATGTTGGGATGCCATTCCTCACTGTGCAGTGCGCTTTTTGTTGGTGGACCAAGGGCTTCTTTGTCGCTCATGTTGTAATGCTGGGAAGCGGAAGTGTTGACGGAGGCGCGTGCGAGACAGAAGCTGGCTCTCGAAGCCCCTCAACTGGAACCCCTGTCCGACTCTAGTGAATGCAACTAATTTGTCCCCCACTCCACTTAGACAAGGCTGCGAGAAGCGCGTCCTCTTGATCCTGGAAAGTTTGGTACCGGGGTGCATAGCGCAAAATTTAGCGTCAGTTTTTATCGCCGTCTTTTTCCCTCATTAAATGTATTACATTATGAAATTCGTAATAATTATACAGTAAAAATAGTAGCCATTTAGTGTGATTTAAAGAATCTTCTCAACAATCTAGGTTAGACACATGAGAAATTTTTTTCCGAGCTTAGATGGCGATGTTCTGCGGCATTGCTACCTCAAAATCGTTTTTGCCCGATAGCCGCTAACAACCCATAGTCTGTATACCCCTGTCTGCAATGCCCAGTTGAATTAGTTCGCCTGGGGCGGAGAAGTGCATTAATAAAACGGGCTTTGGAGTACTGTTCAGGTCTTTGAATTTTTACTCCCATTTTGTTATTTTGTCATCCGACCTCTCCCACAATGGAAGCCTTGATTCAAGCTCGCCAAGAGCAATATGGTTCTACATCGGTGCCCTTGTATGGCACTACGACAAGCGCAACATCCCCAACTCTGACTACACCGAGCTCTTCTTCAGCAGTATCCCCTAAAACCACGTCGGCAAGTGTGATACGTTCCTCCTCATCTAGCACCCCTACCACCACTGCTTCCAGCCTGCCATCGCACAGTAACGGAGTCAGCAAAGGCGCTCTGGCAGGCGCAATCGTTGGATCGATTGCCGGGACTGCTCTTCTTGCCATAATTGGGGCTGCACTCTTCTTTCGAAGAAAGAAAGGCACATCTCATTCTAGCAGCTCTGGTGACTCCGATCGGGGTGGCGTGGAGTTGGTGAAACCGCGAGCCAGAGTTCAAGCCCTATCGAGTCACTCTCCCCTTTCTCCGACAGGCGGCCGAAATTCGCTCCTCGATTTGATCCCTTTTATTCCCCAGCCGGCCGACGACCAAACTGTCAGCACGCGCATACAGACTCTCTTCGACCACATCGGTCTGCATATCGACAACTACTACGTGCCTGCAAGACATGAAACCGTATCACCAAGCCCGGAGGAAGCTATTCGCATAGAAAGCTATGCTTCTACTTCGATTACCGGATCCTTGATCACCGCTTTAGCTAGCCGTCGCGCCCGTCGACCTGTCCTCAATCATGTCTTGGCTCGAACCATCTTACAAGCAATTCAACCTAGAGGGTCTCTGTATCCTCCGTTCATGGAGTCTCATGGGGTTGAACCTCTCTCAGCCTCGACGTCGACTCGTGACATGTTCGCGTGGCGCATGCTGACAGCTCGTCTCCATCCGGAGTACGTGGACCTGTCTTCGGCAGCTGCACAAAATAATATCACTGCTCTAGCAGTCAATTTCTCAGAAGCTTTTGCAATATACCAAAATCCCGAACTCTCTGATGGAGATCGCAGGCGCCATTTGGCAAGTGTTGTGAGGGAGGCTGCTCAGCTGAGTGTGTGGCTGTTTACCCAGCCGTGCTCGTTCCAGTTTGTCTGGTCTGCTCCATCTCCTGGCTCTATTGTTGTTCTGCCAGCCGTCATAAAGACCAGTGATGAACGGGGAGACATACTACCGGCTCCCCAGAAGATGGTGGAGGAGACGATTTCACAGATATGATTTCCTCAACCAAGTTCGAGATATAATGAGTCGTAATAGCTTCATGACCATGAATGCCCCCTTGATACTCCAATATCGCAAGTAACGACCGTCTAAATATTATTTCCCTTTGCCTGCCTCCAGCGTAATAAATCCCGCATCTCATTCTTAACATCTAACCCCAACCCTCCTCCTTTCATAACGTTCACTCCCGAACTCGCCTCACCACCAGTACAAGCGCCAGCGCCAATACCAACCGCCTCACCCTCCCCAGGCAACTCCTGTACCTCCACCTCCTCTATACCCAATACCTCCCCGCCTCCTCTCCCTACTACCCCTTTCCCTCCATCATCGCAACCCACCCCCATCAACCTCTCCAAAACTACCATCAAGCTCGAATAACAAACCATCAACCTGCTCCTCTGCACCTTCGCCCTCTGTCCATCCCTACACACCCACCTCAACTGCGTCCCCAAACCCATTGACATCCGCTTACTCCTCCCCTTGACATTATGATGACTAGTGGGCTGATTCCTCACTCCCCACTCCACGCGCACCGGCTCAACCAGCACCGCTAACGCATGCACCGCGTCTGCCGTATCTGCAATCGTAGACTCAATCCATTGTCTTTCTGAATCGTCAACAAACGCTGCCTTTTGGGCGTAGAGGTGCGAGGCGCGGTGGAGCTGCGTGCGGATGTGCGTGAGGGTCTGGAGTAGTTCGGTTGATTCGTGGTGCGCGGAGGGGAAGAGGAGGGGTGGTGATGGTGGTAGTTGTAGGTTCGGGTGGGAGTTTGGGTGTGGAGGGTTGGTTGTGAGGGAGGCTTGATCTGATAGTGAGGTGTTGGGTGATGTCGAGGTGGAGGTTGATGTAGTGGACATGGGCATGATTATGGAAGTGGATATGGAGAGGGTAAATTTGTTGAATACTGTAGAAAGCGTTCGGGGGGATCAGAAGAAGGAGGAGGTGATGGTGGCCCGGGTGCTCGGGGGTGGTTTCCGTGTATAGGGCCCGTTGTTAGGGATGGTGTTGGGTGTGTGGATAGGTAAATAGATTGGTGCGGAGCGTACGGATGTATGCATCTAGGGTCTTTAGCTGCATGTGTATTTTTGCTGAAATGCGGAATACCCTATACACCACGGCGCTGAGTATGGTCTTTGTTAGCGCAGGAATGATTGCGTGCATTTTACCAATAGGAAGCGGGGCCCTCATGCATCCTGACTGCGCCGCAATTTGAACCACTGGCCAAGAAGGCTGGACAGATAAGCACCCGACAAGGTTTCTTAGCATAGGTACACCCGTTCCTCTATCCGATTTGTTGATTATGTGCATTGGTGGGGTCCCGTGCTAGGACGAAGGATCCGCTAAGTAATCGCGTTATAATTGCTATTGCGGTTTTAGGCCAGTGCTATTACTTACTTTGGCGTAGCTCAGCCTCGCCCCGAGACGGTTGAGCGGTCTCGCCCGCAAGTATGTCTTTGCTCGGTGTTGGATTTGATTGCATGACTCATGATTAAGCTGATGCCATTGATTCTTTTCCCGGATAAGTGTACCTGGTTGGTATGCTACATCGCAATATGATCTGCATGATAGGTCGAAGAATAATTTCGTTAGATACAAGAAAAGTAGACAGGTGCTCGTATACAGAACCAGGCACAGAATATTCGATGAAATTCGGCAAGCCATGCTATATCTTCCAGCTTCCATCCACCACATTCAACACCTTTACTATCTAAAGACTCTTACAGAGCAAGAGCAAAGCCGAGAGCTCCAGCAGCACCAGCGAGGCTCATAGCAAGGCCTCCGGTGACGTCAGGTGCACCCCCAGTTGACACAGAAGAACTCTCTGAGGCGGTCGATGCAGCAGTAGATTCGGACGTACTTGTCCCCGTCGATGACGATGAAGCCGAGGAGATAGAGAACGATAATGGCGTCGATGTTAGACAATTCCAGGAAAGGCTAATAGCATTTCCACTGGAATCTGGCGTCGCGGTTTTGGTAACAGCCGTGGTAACTGGAGATCCGGTGACAGTTTCCCAAGTGGTTACAGTCTTAACGACGGGCGTAGCCTGATGTGTAAGGTCGCCGAGTGTGGCTAACACTGTCACTGAGAAGAGGACAAGTAGTCTGAAAAACGTGTAGAAGGTATTGAGATGCCTTCGGTGGGTAGTATGACTGGTTTTGCATAAGATTGGGTGATGAAGTTACCATGTTAGTAGAAGGGGCTCGGCTTTATGTACTCTAGTTTGTTGGAACCTAATCAGGATTGAGTTCAGGGTGAATCTTATGTGAGAGTAGAATGATACGACAGCATTGCAATATGTTTGAGTACGTTAAGAAACGTCTCTCTCTTGGGGGTCCGTGAGCTCCTGCGCCACCGCCCCATAATCGTCACATGGCAACTAAGCTATTAGCCCACGAATGAACAAGCATTGACGCGGAGGCTTAGCATCTGGGGAGAAAACATGGTATCTCAGAGAGACCGTCTGGAAAGCATGCTAGGATCCTACGAGAAAATAGACGCATTTGGTACTCCGTACTCTTTTAAGGCTGTGTGTTCCCACGAACTTGATTCTTGCCTCCACCGGTCATATAGTAAAGAAAAGCAACTGCCCTTTTCGTCTGTCATGATTTCTATTCTTGGCTTACTCTTATAACCTTCAGTGCTATTCTGATGGGCTTTCAGGGCAAGGCATTGGCGCTGACACCATCGGTCTAAGTATCATGCGAAACATGTATCCCGACATACTGCCTTCATGGGAGTCGCATCTACATCCATGTACCAATCAAATTACAGCTTCGTCGACTTGAAGAATTTAGACTAAATTGAAGCTGTGTAATTTGAGTTACCGAGCGCTAATGATGTCGGTCAAGGAATTGATGCATGTAGCTATCTGTATGGTGGAGCAGAAGCCGCAGCGAGTCCTTGTCATCGTATCCAACGGAAGTATATTGGGAATAATATTGGTCTTCTTCAGAGGGGATATCCCCAATAGCTGTCGAGGTATTAGAAACATTAATTTTTTTGTAGGGTTCATACCCCCACACACCTGAACTGAACCTGCTGGCTAAGCAGAAGGGGGAAACTCGCGTATTCCTTATATTCGATATCGCCAATGCTTCATATGATACTCACCTAGGTCATCTACCCGATCACAACTAGCCTCCTGTCACCGTGGTTCGTCTGAGTGAAAGAGGTGCAGACGTATGCGCCAAGCCTACCTGTGCGAAATAAAGTGAATGGTGATGCCGCCCGAGCTCACAATGACCACGGTGTAGACAGCTTTCTGTCTTTCATCACTGATTATACATATAGGCCATCCTTGGATTCTAATCCACCTTGTTTCAGCGTTAACGATACCGCGCCAGTTCTAAGATGTCTTTGGACAAGTCATGAACTAGGAAGGACCTCGGTCAACGTTGCGGCGGAGTTAACGGGTAGATAGCTCAGTCCCCACAAGCGGTTCCCGAATTGTGGATTAACCCGGATCAAACTATGGTCTAAGCCAATGGTTGGTATACTTTGTAGACTTCCCCACCCCGCCGGCAAGAGCATGATTGTGCGGAGAAAGGAAAGAGCGTAGATACGTGCAGAGCACGCCATGCCCTCGTTGGGCTTCGAGATCCAGCTGGTAAAATCAGGCACCAACCTGACCAGAATATACCCTGTAGGGCAGGCGAACAGCTTGGGGGTGCCGATCCGGACAATCAGTTTTTCCGCCAGGCCGTACTGCTTTTAAACTACCGAAGGGGTTCAAGTCTCCCACTCTCGTCTCCAACTCTCACCACTAATGTGGATTGAGAGAGTTTAAAGCCCTCGCGTTCTCCCGAAAATTTATATATCTTTTTGTCTTCAGAATTTGTGACGTGTGATAATGTCCGAGGACCCTGTTGATTACAAAGCGCTATTTCTACAGGCCGAAGAGGCGAGAAAGCAGGCCGAAGAGGATAGGGAGCGGGAGGAGTCTCTGAGGAAGCACGAGCAGGAGCAAACCCGTCGGACTACTTTCCGAGAGTTCATTCAATATTGTCACGCCCTTCGTTCGCTCCCCTTGAGAGCCGGACATCCCGCCGAGTCAACTACTGGCGAGATCCCGCAGCCCACTGGCAAATATTGCCCACTGCGACTAGAGCCCTGGACAGACTGCGATGCTAGGCAACAGGAGATCTACAATGCTGTCTGCCATTACCTCCTACCCCTAGGTCGAGACCCTCCCCGGTTATTCAGTTCCCGACACGCACTCGAGGAAGACAACCGGCGTTTCAGCAATCGGCCTATCACGAGTGAAAAGGACCTGGAGTATCATGAGCGATCCGCCGTGGAAAGTCAGGTCCAAGATATCATCGCTGCGCTAAGCAAGATACCGGCCGCTCGAGACGAGTTTGGGCTAGGAGACGGGTTGCTGTTCGATAGTCATACTAATGGTCTAGATGAGATCATGCCAGAGGAGCATCATGCTGGTTCCTCACCTTACAATGGAAACTCCCGCCCTGACCAGTATTGCATCCACCGTGTTCACGGAAATACAAAGGCAATATTGACTACTGTCGAGTATAAACCGCCTCATAAACTGTCCATTGAAAATCTCAGGGCTGGGCTACGGCCAATGAACTTCTATGAGGAGATTGTTGAAACGGAAACAATTCCTGTTAGTGGGCCTGAGAAGCTGTCATTCAACGCTGCCCGTCTCGCAGGATCGGCAATTGTGCAGGAGTATCATGTGATGATACAGGAAGGACTCGAGTATTCCTATCTGACGACAGGTCTTGGGATCGTGCTGCTCAGGATACCCGACGATTGCGGTATCCTGTACTATCGTCTGTGCGAGCCGAATCTGGATGTAGGTGCTGGTGGAGACGGGCAAGTGCCTTGGACGGCAATCGGGAGAGTTCTTTGTCTTTGTCTAATGAGTTTTCGTTCACATTGTCGGGATCAGGTATGGCGAAATGCTGCTCGGGCGAGGCTGCCAAAATGGGAGACCGGCTTCAGCCACGAGCGAGCTCAGATCCCAACGAACGAGTTACGAATGAAGCCTCCTGGGTCAGACTATATCAGCCTGGATGGCACCAGTTCCGAGGTGACCCCTTCTGAATACCAGCCATCGTCCCCTATTGAGTCCCCTGTCTCCCAGGGTCGCCGCGTACCGACCCGCGCCTTCACTAGCTGTGCGCCCACAGGTGATGCTTATCGACGAGAAGATTCCCCGGGCTCTGACAGCGATCCTACAGCGGCAACACAACGGAAGCGAGGCTTTAGCCAAATCGCGTCCTCGCCGCCCACGCAACGATCGGCGCCGACTACGCCGCAGAAGTCTTCTCAATATCGTGCCGGTCAGCGCCGTCCACATGATCATGACTTTTGTACACAAAAGTGCCTCTTGAGCCTACAACGAGACGCAGCGTTAGACACAAGTTGCCCCAATGTAGAACTTCACCGGGCTGGACAAGATATCGACCATCATCCGATCCGGGCAGCTAAATTAGTACAGATGATCAAGCAGCAGCTGGACAAGAATTTGGATGAACTATGCACCCCGATAGGACAACGTGGGTCCTACGGAGCACCGTTCAAGATAACCTCCGCCGAATATGGTTATACAGTGGTGGGAAAGGGCACCACATCACGGCGATGGCCAGTTGTCTCGCGCGAAGCGGAGATATATCAGATCTTGCAAAGTGTGCAAGGCTCCGCGGTGCCCGTCTTCCTGGGGCCCATTGATCTAGATATGGTATATTTCCTTCACGGTGCTGGCGAGATCCGCCACATGCTTCTGATGGGTTGGGGTGGCGAGAATGTGCGCCGCCTTATGGAGAACAATCCAACCATTCAGCGTGCCATCTCACGGTCGGAAAGGAAAATTCTCTCATTGGGCGTCGTACATGACGATCTTCGGCTTGAAAATATTCTCTGGAATGAGGAGCTACAGCGAGCGTTGATCATAGACTTTCACCGCTGTCACCTAAACAACCGACTGATACGTCCCAAGTCCCGGTCCGTGAAAAGAATATCGAATGGCGCCGAGGACCAAATCAGCAAACGTGCGCGCCCAATATAAAGTCAGATGTTAGCCTACATCTGAGTAGAGGCATCTGAATTATCTGGATCTTCAGGGCCTGCCTTCCTGCGTAGGCCGTGAATTCATCGTAAATCAGCGCTCGCCATCCCATGTATGGCGCTTCTGAGAAATAACAACGCTATCTAGGAGCATCTGCTCTACTTTCGATGCGGGGGATCCTGCATATCGTTTGTGGCATTCCTTGCGTGAGGCTTTGATCGCGGCACTACTTTGCTGCATAATACATGATTGCGCAATATCTAACTTCCCTAGAATCGAGGCCAATGCCCTCCTGGGGAATTAGCTGCAACATGTCAAGCCACCGGCTCCTTATACCCTGATTTAGCCACTCGACAGTAGGGATGTTTCCGTAATGAAGGAGCAGGCGGATTAAGTCAGGTGTTGTGTGGCAGGCAGCCGAGGGTATTGCATCCCGGGGAAATACCGCTCCGCGTTCTAGCAGCAGCCGAGCGTTCATGACCATGATCAGGCGCCGTCGTTCCGCGCGATGATCGAGCAGGTTGCGCTACGTAGGGTATACACGGGATTATAAGGAATGCTCGTGTCTGCCTCAATTCTCCAGTAGAAGTTGGAGCAGCGTCAAGTGGCCTGTATTGACCGCGTACATGACTAACCGACCAGCCTCCATACAGGCGACCTTGAATACTCGTGCCATGATCAGACTGAACTCGAACAGTACTTGACTGTCCCGATACTAGAGCATCCGTAATATCAGGCTGAAATCATGTTCGGGAAGCCCCACCATGGTGCTCCAGTCCGTCTATTTCAGCCCCGTGGTCCAGCAACATCCGCACCAATGTGTCATGACCGATGGTAGCTGCGGCGTTAAGTAGCATTTGTAATGAAACATGACTTTATAGGGACTTTTCCCGTGCTGCAGGAAGGGATCACTGCATGAGAGGTTCACGTCGGCACCGTAGTGGAGGAAGTTTTGTGTTCTCTGGAGGCAATGGCTCGCATAACACTTGTTGGCCAACTATGTGCGAAGTCTCGAGACTCATCGGGCTATTGGTAGTAACAGAAAAGGAGTATCCCCCAGATATGGTGGTTTGGCTCACCTGCAGTAGATTGGAGAGATGTCCAGCTGCGAGAGGTTCAGCCACCTATTGGGTAACGCCAACAGTGACAAGGTGTATACACAACACGGTGGGACGTTGAAAGTGTAAGAAGTAATGACTTATATAGAGCTCGACAGTGAAGGAGATCTTACATGCCGACAGCTCCGCTGGTTGCCTGGACTAGCTGAAGGTGGTTATTAAAGCCTCGTAGCCGTTAGTAACTGGCTTAGTGACGGCTCATTAGGTGGACAATATATATAGATTCAAGGTCTAGCGTCATAATCAACTGCGGACCTTGAAAGGAATGTCGAAACAGTCACTGTCGTCAGTCAGTCAGGCACCATCTATTCCTTTGCCTCTGCCTGATGATATCCTGTTGCATAAAGCGTCAGCTTGATACCTCAAGGTAATTATAATAACACCTCGGGTACCATCTCGGGGCCTCAGGCAGGATCTGAGCATAGTATAATAGCAGTAGGATTCCTGCATCTACTAAAACAAGTCTTTACCTTCCAGGGTGGGCGGGGTGCAGAAAGAGGGCAGCTGCGGATAGTCGGAGGCTGTGGCATAAGCATAGGCTGGTGTGGGGGTAGAGTCTTCCTGTATAGTAGCCTTAACCTAGTACTGTTCCACTCATATATTTTTGGATTTCCGATAGGTTTAGACACAACGCCTATTACTGGCCGCGGCTCTGCTCGCCGAGTAATACAAAATCCAATAAGTTCATTCCGTTGACGTCTAGCTGCTTGATTGAGTAGTTTGGCTCCGCAACACTCCTTTGCCATCGAGTCTTTCGGTCAGATAAGAAGGATTGAGCCGGAGGGGGTTGGCTTTGATGCTGAGAACTGACTCTGGTAGTTTGCGAGCGACCCAGTAGTAATTATCCTGTCTCAATATAAGTGATATTCGTTGTTGGGAGAACTGTGACTGAGCTGGAGTGCCAACACAGGCAATTATTCGTGGGCCTACTAGAAGACACGCGCTCGGGTCGGTTGTTGACAGGCTCCACTTAGTGTATGTATGTTTGATTCATTCCCAGCCCCAGATCCCCATAGCTAGGTCAGCATGAAGAGGCCTCCAGCTCGCTAGCTCTGTACTTATGACTCCTATGAAAGATTTATGAAAGTGCCACGGAGAAAATGAGTTTCCATCCGTCCACAGTGGGTTTGGGGCTTGATTGTTGCTGGAGGAGCCGACGTGACTGTTAGATTAGGCCGTGGGTATTTTGCCCTTTGAGGGGCTTAGCTCATCAAACGAAGCTATGCCGGCTTCTAAATTCTTTCAATCATTGATTTCTCCCTGAGTGCATGCAGCTTACTTTCTAACGCTCCGAGGAGATGTCCAGGCAAGCGATGATGCTGCAGCTTCACACCTCATCATCGGGGTTGGATTGACATTCCCGAGTAGGAAGCATGCAGATAACGATAGGGTGAGAAATGGCAACGTCTCAGGAATAACAACTGCCTACGTGGACGGTGTCAAAGCACGTTAATACCCAGTACCATTTTATTCCGTCGAGTCCGATAAGCAATTTGTTCATACATGCAGCTGTTGATCCTACCCACGATGGTTACCATCAGCTAGCGTAATGCTGGTCCTAAGTAACCCGAAGTGCTTAAAGGCGTGTAGAGGTCTGTGCAACTATATCAGCTCGGTTGAAGCGACATAGTCTGATATGCAACTTGCCGTAAATGGAGTTCCGGCGCTCTTACAGACAATTCCGCATTATGATCGACAGGAAGCTAGTAGGTGGTAGTCACTGCTGGCCGGGAAGGAAATACATAAAGAACAGTATCGGATTGGAAGACAGCAACCTCTGCGTATTATACGCATATGTGGGTACGAGTAGTATGGTGTGCTGTAGATAGTGCGTGGCATTCAACACTTGGCCTACTATGCATATTGACTCTTTCATTTGATCCATTGCAAGGCAAAAGGTTGTATCTAATCGAGCCCGCTAAGTATGTGATTTGTTTGACCCCGCACCAACATGGGTTGGTGGTTGGCTTGTTGGTTCGGGCAAACCCCCGCCGCGATACCCATTTTCTGACTCGCCAGTGCCCCATAATATTTGTGATAGGGCTGGTGGGGTTCAAACTCGACAGACCTGCTGGTTTTAGGCGGATAGCTGTACTTGACCGAAATTCATGCGCTGATTGTTGTCCTTGAGATGCATGGTCGTCTAGGTTAGTCCACCAAGCATAAGGAGGATTGTCAAAACCATCTTTAGTATTGTCAGTAAGATGGATACTCAGGCAGCCACAATACGGTATAGCGACTTTTCAGTAATTGGGTGCCTCGTGTCGACGTCTGCTATGAGCCATTTCCTTGCGAAGGCCCATGCATGCGTGTTGACGACAGCATCAGCAAGTTGTTCCAGATGTGGTATGGTCGGGAAAATTCAAAATGTTGCAGGTACGTACCTGTAAATCAGCTCCTCTCGCTACCTAAGCAAGTATTGAATTGGTGAAGTTCGCTATTTATAAGACTTGCCTCTGATCAGCGAGTTGATTTCTCTTTCAGTTCCCCAAACACATCGAATTCAGGACTGACTTCTCACCACAAGAACACGTACGCTATGTCTCCATTCCGGCTCCGCAAAAACATTGCCGCTCTCGAGGAAAAAGAGCGTGACGATCTGGTACTTGCATTCCATTTACTTCAGAAAGAGGGTCCAGGAACGGCAGAGTCTCCAAATGAGGATTCCTTTTATACCATCGCAGGTTATCATGGCCAGCCCTTCAGGGGTGCTGGCTATGGAAATCGAGATTGGTGGGGAGGATACTGTCATCATGGCAATGTGCTTTTTCCTACCTGGCATCGTGCGTATGTCCTTCGCTTGGAGGACGCCCTCCGCAAAGTTGCAAAGATGCCGAATCTAGCTCTGCCATACTGGGATGAGTTTGCCGACTCATTGGTGCCGAAAATCTTCACACAAAGAAAATACACTTTACCCAATGTGGGCGAGATTGACAATCCCCTATATTCATACAAACTGTCCCAAGGATTCTTCGACAACCTCGGTCGAATTGCATCCGACAAATCCGGCACCACGACCAGAAGGGTTGATTACAGCAAGCCCAAAAAGTATGAAACAGTTCGATGTCCTTACTCGGGACTTGTTGGGAAAGATGACAAGGACGCTACAGAGAATTACAACGCCACCATCAGTGAGGCTGATGCTACCAAGAGGCTGAATGAAAATGTGTTCTACTGGCTAAGAAGTCCCGCTACGAATAGAGTCCCAGGCATGCGTCAGCTTTACATCAATGCTGCCTGGAAGGCTCCCAACTACACCGTGTTTTCCAACACCACATCAGCTGCTAAGTGGAACGATGATCTATTTGGTCGTGAACATGAATGGATGGATGACTTTGTGGTTTCCGTGGAGCGGCCACACAATGGAGTTCATCTGGCAGTTGGTGGATATGACATGCCTGACAAGGATGCTCACCGAACAACTCCCTCCCAAGCAAACGGGGACATGGGCGAGAATGACACGGCGGCGTTCGATCCGATCTTCTTTTTTCATCACTGCTTTATTGACATGGTCTTTTGGCTCTGGCAGTTCCATCATGAGGCCACAGAGAAGTTTGATATTATTCCGTTTTACCCCGGAACCAGTCCGATTGATAGTCAAGGTCCAACTCCGGGTATGAGTGCTGATTCCCAGCTCAACATGGAAACCCCGTTAACCCCTTTTCGCTACACTTCAAAGGTAACTGTTAACCACAAGGCCAAGAACGATATCTCATATATCCGCTAACCATGAATACCTCTAGCATGTTGTGAACATTGAGAAGCTCGGATACACGTACGATTGCGATCAATACCGTAATAAGACCCCTCCACCACCTATTGATGTCCTGCCGGTACCAGCACCGCCAGTCAGAGCTTTAGCGCCATCCACGTCACGCTCAGCTGTACGGGTGACAGGTATCAGCCGGAGCCAAAGACTGGGCTCTTTTGTTGTGGCTATTTGGGCCTTCCCTTCCGACAACGAGCATGATTGGGATCAAGCTACTCTAGTTGGGCTCGAGCCGGTTTTCAGCCGGTGGCATGTGCCAAATTGTGCCAACTGCAGCAACTCTCTGACGGTAACTTTGCACGCACATCTACCACCCGGCTCATCCCCAACGGACTCAGACAAATTTACGGATGGAGGCCAGAGAGAATGGAAACTGAAGATTATTGTGCTGGATAACCAGCTCATAAAGGACAAGGAAGGCGTGCCCCGCAAAAAAAGGTTACTCAACCCTATCACAGGTGACAGCAAAGTGGATCCAGGACCTTGGATTGAGATTAAGAAGGTTTCAGGTTGAGGTATTTTGGCTTATTTGTGACTGCGAATTGGCAAGTGGGAACCTTGGAATTTTGTCCTTTAGGGTTCTTCATCAATGGCAGCAAAATAGATAGAACCTACTCAATTCAGGATTATGTAGTCAATATTGCCCCATCAGCTCCATTCAGACTCTTCTTGTCCAAAATGATACTTTAGACTGACATTGCCACGGAGGTTGGACCTTTGTGTTTTCAGGGCTGATTACGAATTTCATGGTAACAATTGGTAAGTTAATCCCCTCATTATGTATGAAGTCCTGCATCCCAGTAGTCCGATCTATATGGCAGATGGACGTGATTGTGATTTATGCTTCAGACTCACTCCCCTTAAGGAGGGAGTATATCCACCCGGATTCTATATACCATATAACTCAGCATTGCTAGCGTATTAAGCTGTTATAATCACTGACTCGGTTGCTGTTTTACGCTGTAGTAGGACTGCATATGCGGTTAGAGGTCTCTCCATAGACTTGGATAATGGCTCTGCGTAAATGGTTTGTCATTGGAAGATGAAGGACACGCTGACTCTACACCCTTTTCTTTTGTTTTCTTTCCCCTTCTTTCCCCCTTCGCGATCATACATGCCTCGAATCGTTGGACTCTCGTCTTCTGAGCCGGAACATGCATTATTTGGCTACAAAAAATGGTGATTATAATTTACAAAAGTCGTTGGAAAGGAAGTAAAGATTTCCCCGGGGATATTTATAGCTCACAACGTGACTCAGCCGCCTACTGATCGATAAACTAAGCGCGTTTCACCCCCTTGCTCCGCAACCCGCAACCTTCCAAATGAACTTCTGTTAAAAGCCATATCGGCATGATCAGGCTTACGATGGCACCGTGGACCTGGCATCCAAGTCCGGTGACTAGAAAACTTCTGTTTCCAATATGGATCATGCATTCATCAACGTTTACCTCCCGTATGGTGTGTACGATAAATGACGACAGTCAACTCTTCAAATGCACGTCTGGTCGATGGATGTGAGTTGCTCATAGATGCCCTCTTCTCTTCCTTTTTGGTAGCTTATATGGGTAGATATAACGAGAACATCCGCCTTGCTGAGCGTCGCGGGGAATTCAACGGTGATGCATTAAGAAGCACCGCTGCTCAGTCACTACAGAGATGCGATACAGATATCCAGAGTCTGACAAAATTGGCTGAAGGAGGCTTCAACCGTGTTCTACAGATCACCATGCTTGACGATACTCAGGTTCTTGCCCGATTGCCATATCCCTCAACTGAACCAAGACAATTGGCCGTCGCTAGCGAGGTGGCGACCTTGGCTTTCCTTCGGGGTCATGGTCTTCCTGTACCCCGAGTATATGCGTACTCCACAGATGCAAAAAACCCCGTTGGCTCGGAGTATATTATCATGGAGAAGCTACCGGGACGACCACTTGGTGACCGGTGGTTTGAATTGTCTGATCGTGAACGTCTTAAGGTGCTCCTGCAGCTTGTACAGTTTGAAGCAAAGCTTCATGCGATCCAGCTCCCTGCGAGTGGAAGCATATACTACGCGAGCGATCTACCATCAGACTCACCACGCATCGCCGTTCCAGATTCGGATGTCTGTATTGGTCCTAGTGCAGCTCTTAAATGGTGGTTTGCAGAGCGTGCCTCTCTCCGTGTCGATCGCGGTCCTTGTAGGTGCTTCCTAGGCCAGCCTGTCTCAATGCTGACCATATATTAGGTGCGGACCCGATCGATGTTCTCCGAAATCCTGCGTTAAAGGAACTAGCCTGGCTGCGCACATATGGCCGCCCACGCTTCCCTTTTGAGCGTGCATATCGCGAGTCCATGGGTTACCGATTGTCCGACCCCAGTGAGCATATTGAGTCACTGGAATCCTACCTCAAGATTGCTCCTCGACTGCTCCCATCAAATGAATTCTTACGTCCGGTCCTTCGCCACCCTGATCTTCAGCCTAACAACATCTTCGTCTCAGATGACCTGGACATTGTCGGGCTAATTGACTGGCAACATGCAGCTGTCCTTCCGCTCTTCCTCGCCGCCGGGATCCCCAAGTTCTTCCAGAACTACGATGACCCTGAATCTATTCATTTCCGCCCGCCGCCTACTCCTGATTTGAGCGATCTGGACGAAGAGGAAAAGGTCGACGCTCTCTATGATTTTCGACGACGCCATACCCACTTTTTCTATTTGGCATTCACTCAGAGGTTCAATGAGCCTCACTTCCGCGCTATGGATCAGACCACGAACATGCTCACTCGGCGCATCTTCAGCCATGCGGGCGACCCCTGGGAGGGCAACAATATTCCGCTTCAAGCCGACCTTGTCTTGTTGGCCAAATCCTGGCACGAATACTCAAATGACCCGTGCCCAACATCCATCTCTACGGCCAGGTCAGATTCTATCATGCATTTGCAAAGCATGCAGGAAGAGATTGACCTCCAACTGAAACATATCCGTAATGCTATTGGTATCAGTATTGATGGATGGACCCCTTCAGAAGATTATGAAGCTGCCTGTGCCCGTGCTCGTCAGATGAAAGTTGATGGCCTCGCTTCACTGGATACAGACCACGAGCGCGAAATGACGGATCGACACTGGCCGTTTGATGACCACAATGAGGGTGAGTAGCGTGACTGTTTTCCGTGTCTAGACTTGTCTTCGAAGGGTAGAAGATGCAACATGTTGAATATGTTAAGGGTCTTGGTTTTCTGATGTCCTTTAAATATCCAGACGCCCTGGCCACCTGCAGAATAGTTCTGTGGTCATATGCCCGGATGCCGTATACTGTACGTAATGTCATCTAAATCATTACTAGACACCTGGAGTTTTTGCCACATATTTCTTTATGTGTGAAACATATACTTTGCTTCAAAAGGTAAGCACCGGTATAGGTAGCATTTTACTGAGCAGGCTCTATGAGGTATAAGAATATCGATTGGATTGAATTGGAAGTATAGGATAGACCGATAAATGAATATGTATATATACCTGAAGAAAAAGAAGACGAAAGAAAAAAGGGGTAAAAAAAAAAAAGTCAAGAAGCAGAACATTAAGTTGCATTTATTTCTATGGATTTCCTTAGATGAGACTGCTCATGAGTATCTACATGCAGACGGTTGGGAAGAGTCATGTTCAGGAAAAGGCAAGAGCGTATATGAAGGGAAGATAAGGCTTTTGTATACTCCAAAATTATTAAAGGGTCTAAATCCTGTGCAGGTTCGATATTTAAGTAATCCATTGCAGATCTAGAAGTCTTCAACATAAATCCACTGAGGTCAAACGGGGAGAATTCCGGCGCAACTGATTACTATCCACGAAATGCGCGACGGGCTGTGAGAACCCTGGGAGGTTCGGCAGCCTCCCCATTCTTGCCACTCGTTTACTAAAGATCTTGTGGGTACAGACATCTACAACACTAGTTTTACTCTCTCTTCCCATCCTGCTTGATGAGGTCCGCCGCTCTCTCCGCGAACGCATACACAGTAGCTTGCAGATTCGCCGTGCTTATAAGCGGGATAGCACTCGCATCCACAACCCTCAGGCCTTCGATACCGTGGACCTTCAGATTGGAATCCACCACTCCGTCCTTCTCGCGAGGCAGCATCGAACAGGTTCCCGCGAAGTGCCACATGGAGACCAAATTGTCCCGAGCGTACTTCTTTGCAGCATCCAAGTCTCCTTGGAAGTCTGCATCTGGGTCACGGAACTTCAATGGCTGTTCAAGCAGTTCCCCAAGCTGAGGTGACTCTGCTAATTTCTTGATACGGAGCAAGTGTCGTGCCATGACTTCCAGGTCGAGAGGGTTTGACATGTAGCCAGGGTCAATGATTGGAGGGGTTTCAGGATTTTTGGAGGTACTGGGGTTCGGTTTGTCAGTTCTACAATTTCTATCAAGAAAGATGTAAACAACAAAGATGAACTTACATTTGAACGCTTCCGCGGGAAAGCGGTTGAGAGAGCATTACTCCAAGCGTAACAAACTTTCCTGGTGAAGCATCTGGGATAGTTCCGTCCCTGAGATCTTTGGCATAATTTGTCTGCCCCAAGGCGGATAGGTACGCAGCTGATGGTTGCTTGGGATCAAGAATAGTGGTCTTGGCGATGTCATAGTAGGATTGCGTTGCCTTGTGCTGTGATTTCTCAGCAGCGTCGCTGGTGAACAGTGCCTGGAGATCACTTCTGTCCTGTTCAGGAAGAGGTAAATAGGCGTAGGTATGAACTCCAAGTGACGCGAGGGGCCCAGACTTCGTGGCAGCATATTCCTGCATTGCCTGACCAATGGCTTCAGGCTCTTGTCTAACGAGTGAGTCTTTCGTTTCCACTTCAGGCTTTGCTTGGAATGCGGTATATGAGATCATGTGATCTAGGAGCATTAAATGTTAGCTTTTTTTAACCCAAAGCGAGTAGTTGTCAAAAGGAGAGGGGTTCCTGTTATCTATGTCGCCGGTGCTAGACTGGAAGCTGTTCACATACCCTGAAGATTTTGCCCAACTCCGGGAAGGTCCATAACCACATCGATACCATGCTGGTTTAGAAGTTCTGCTCCACCAACTCCCGAAAGTTGGAGGATTTTCGGAGATTGGAAAACGCCAGCAGCAAGTATGACTTCACTCTTTGCCTGAACAGTCTTTGAGGCCCCATCATGACTGTATTGGACCCCAATAGCCCTGGGAGGCTTGCTTTCGTCAAACAAGACTCTCTCAACAAGAGCGTTTGTAAGGACATGAAGATTTTGGCGAAGTTCCACAGGCTTATAGTAAGCCAAGGCAGAGTTACTTCTCTTACCCTCCGCGTCAATACTAGCAAGGCAGCTGAAGGAGCCTACAGAACTGTGGATAAACGGATCCCCGGCATTGTATTCTCCACAGCTGCGAAACAGTTCAGCCCATGCTTTGCGGATAGGATGTGTCACGTTGCCAAAAGATGTTTGGATTGGACCTTTCGCTCCGTTCAATTCAGGCCAGTCCTCAATTGCCAGGCTTTCCTTGTCATCCTGTGCTACAGTTG